AGACTGGACATACCCCATATTGAATACCCTGGGTTGTCTACTTTAAAAAAAAATATGTACATGTGGGGTGTTATTCAGAGATTTATGACAGATAATAGTGTTACAATGTCACTAATGATAAATTTTAAAAATGTATGTTTTGAAACCGCAATATCCTACTTGTACCTATAGCCCTGTAACATGCAAAAAAGCGCGTAAACACAGGGTATTTTTAAACTCAAGACAAAATTTTGAATCTATTGAGCAGTTTTTTTTCATTCTCTTTTGTAGATGAGTGAAAGATTTTTCAAATAAAAGTCAAAAAACATGTAATTTTTTAAAATTTTTCATATTTTATTTTTTTTAAATTAAAATACATGAGATTATATAAATAATGGTATGTAAAGAAAGCCCCTTTTGTCCTGAAAAAAACAATATATAATTTGTATGGGAACGGTAAATGAGAGAGCGGAAAATTACAGCCAAACACAAACACCACAAAAGTGTAAAAATATGCCTGGTCGCAAATGTACAACATCGCAAAAACAGTCCAGTCCTTAAGGGGTTAAAGCATTTCAGAAAGCTATTTTCATTGGATTCTGGAGCATACCACCTGACTCAGCTCTTTTCCACACTTGTTAAAGAGTAGCCATTAAGCATAGTTAATATCCACATTATGGCAGCATTTCGTGTTCCACCCATCTTTAACATCTGCATGGTACTCAGTCTACCTCCCTTGATGTCAACCATAGAAACATAGAATGTGACGGCAGATAAGAACCATTCGGCCCATCTAGTCTGCCCAATTTTCTAAATACTTTCATTAGTCCCTGGCCTTATCTTATAGTTAGGATAGCCTTATGCCTATCCCACGCATGCTTAAACTCCTTTACTGTGTTAACCTCTACCACTTCAGATGGTAGGCTATTCCATGCATCCACTACCCTCTCAGTAAGGTAATACTTCCTTATATTATTTTTAAACCTTTGTCCCTCTAATTTAAGACTATGTCCTCATGTGGTAGTTTTTCTTCTTTTAAATATGGTCTCCTCCTTTACTGTGTTGATTCCCTTTATATATGTAAATGTTTCTATCATATCCCCCCTGTCTTGTCTTTCTTCCAAGCTATACATGTTAAGATCCTTTAACCTTTCCTGGTAAGTTTTATCCCGCATGAACCAGTTTAGTAGCCCTTCTCTGAACCCTCTCTAAGGTATCAATATCCTTCTGAAGATACGGTCTCCAGTACTGTGTACAATACTCCAAGTGAGGTCTCACCAGTGTTCTGTACAATAGCATGAGCACTTCCCTCTTCCTACTGCTAATACCTCTCCCTATACAACCAAGCATTCTGCTAGCATTTCCTGCTGCTCTATTACGTTGTCTGCCTACCTTTAAGTCATCAGAAATAATCACCCCTAAATTCCTTTCCTCAGATGTTGAGGTTAGGACTCTATCAAATATTCTGTACTCTGCCCTTGGGTTTTTACGTCCAAGATGCATTATCTTGCACTTATCCACATTAAATGCCAGTTGCCACAATTCTGACCATTTTTTCTAGTTTACCTAAATCATTTGGCTTATCCCTCCTGGAACATCAACCCTGTTACATATCAGCCTTTCTCCCAACTGTTTCGGCTGTTGATCCAAAAGAAGGCCAAAAAGTGAAACTTTTTCCAATTTTGCAACAAACTAGGAAAAAGATTCCTTATAATAATTTAATGTTGGTTAACAGTTTCCTGATCCAAGGATAGATGAGACTTCCATTTTGGGGTTTGTATTCCTTAATATTATTATGCTTTTTTTTTTTTAAGAATTCATCCAGTTACACTTTAAAAAAAATAAATCTGTACACAATTTTACTAAAACCACTTTAATGATCTCTATAAAAGAGGGTGCAAGGGAATACTAATAACTTTCCCTTTGGTGGGTCCTTGCTCAGTTCTGAAGAAGGTTTAGCTCATCTTGTCATTACAAAGGGAACCTAAGCCCAATCTTTAATCCCCCATTTAGATCTGTGTGATACCCACACTCACTTTCTCTGTATCCCATAGCAAGAATCCACAATAAGACGGCAGGATAAAATACACCTCTTGACACATTATTTGGTTGCTGCACTAGTTGAAAAATGTATTCAGCTCATTTATTCAACTTATTTTACTTTGCACGACAACTTTTCCGGTCTAGCCTGGAAACTTTATATTTGCAGGGTTATTTACTAAAATGACCAATCGAAGTGAATTTCAAATTTAAGGTAAAATTAGATGAACTGGCAACATTCTTTACTAGTTAGATTATGTTGACCTTAAATCTGAAATCCACTTTGAATTCTTACTTTGGTGAATAACTGCTAATCTACTATTTAGGGAGCATTACATTTTTTATTTTTTTTTTAAATTACTCTTTTGTACTATTTAGTACATGCAAAAAGACAAGGCCAGGTTACAGCCAACTCACTTTACGCTGTTTGTGTTACGGTGGTGGTGATTTTTTTTTTTCCCTATTGGTTTTGGATATTGTAGGAACTGGTGCGTCCCCAGTGGAGAGGACCAGTTCTTATAAATCTGCAGTTACACCCAGTCAATGTGAGCTGTTTTACCCCCTGGAGCTTCCAGTTTATTTGTTATTTTTTAAATATTTAAAACCACTTGCAAAAGCTGCAGAAGCTCCCAGAACAGACTTTCATTGAGAAGTCTCTGTGTTGGAATCGGAAGTACATGCGATTGCAGCTTTCCAAAACTTCTTAATCAGGTGTGATATCGCTCATTTAGAAGGGGGAGGCAAGCATGTTTTTTATAAATTGTCACAAATTGAAGTGATTTATGTGTGTGGAGTAATCCTTTAATCTCCATTGATTTACAGCGCATGTGCAGCAATCCCTGCGCTCCTGCTTCTCATAGAACGCTATATCAAAGCAAGTGAACCGAAAAACGTGTGTAAATGACAGCCTGAGGATGTATCTAAGGATGTACATAATTTGTCTTGAAATTGGCTCTTTTATAAAGAACCCATAGAGCACTTCTGCAACCAGGTGTGTTCTCCAACCCAGTCCTCATGGACCACCAACAGTTCAGGATTTATAGATTTCCCTCTCTTATTCCAATGGAGATACTGACAAAGCCTGGACTGTTGGTGGTCCATGAGGACTGGGTTAGAGAACACTACAAGAGGACTTTGCATTAGTAGAAAAGGGAAAATTTAAAGGAGCATTCCGAACCCAAGACAGTTAAGGGGGCTGGAGTCATAGGATGCTGTCTTACCTTCAGGGAGTTTGTCAGACATTTTAACTGCTCTGAAAACCTGAGCCGGTGACAACCGCACCCAGAATAACTTCATTAAAACTTATGGGGGCTGTAGTAAAGCGCTACGCAATCTGTTAGCGCTATATAAATGGCGATAATAATCAGGTGGGAGTATTCCTTTAAGGCAAATTACATTACACATGTTTTTTTGTGTGGTTATACAGAAAGTGAGGATCACATTTTCATTCCTAAGCAACTCATTGACATCAGCAGTCAATCCTCATGGCTGATGTAATAAACATCTCGTGTTGTACAATCAATGCCGTTATTGTATTCTTATACATGCAGATGTGGTGACACAGCTACCGGTAATCAAGGTTGCAAAGAGTTTTTAGGAAAAGTTTCCCAAGGCAGTGATAGTTTCTTCATCAACAAACATGTACTACCTTCTTAATCACCCACAGTTCATTGAGAATATCACTTGTTTTTATTTTTCACTAGCGTAAAAGTCACTGATTACTGTTCAACTCCAGATAGAATATATATATATATATTTTTTTTTTCTGTCTAATCACAAAAACTAAATCTATTTAGATTTTAATTTAATTCTGTTATCTTGATAAAATATTTCGGAATCACTAGAACCATAATTTTGCTTGTATATTTAAAAAAAAAACCTAAAAACAAAGCAAATTGACATCTAATGCCCACAAGAAATAAATGTTACAAATATACTGTAAATCTACTTAAATACATATTAAAATACAAAAATGACAATTATAGAAGCTTTTCGTGTGAATCTTTTGAGCAATTTTTAGATTTTGTTTTGTTTGTTTTGTAGTTTTTAAATACATATTAAAATACAAAAATGACAATTATAGAAGCTTTTCGTGTGAGTCTTTTGAGCAATTTGTAGATTTTGTTTTGTTTGTTTTGTAGTTTTTAAATGCATATTAAAATACAAAAATGACAATTATAGAAGCTTTTCGTGTGAGTCTTTTGAGCAATTTGTAGATTTTTTTTGTTTGTTTTGTAGACTGGTGGATATATATATATATATATATATATTTTTTTTTTTATTTTTTTTATTTTTTTATTTTAGATCTAGCAACACTTGTATTGACACATCTATTTTTAATCTCTCTAGGGATAACTCCATGGTAAAGAATCTTTAGAATGAAGCCACATGCCTGCAAAGCAGAATGATGAAAGTAATGTCATTCTATCCACTAGAATACCAGGCATATTTCAAATCTTTTATGTGTCTGGGGGTAAAGTAGGAGTAGAATATTAGTGTGTATATATCCTAAAGTGTTGTTTTACAAATCGAATGTTTGTGCTTAGGGTGTTGAGGATTATAGTTACTGAAAGGACACTACAAGAAAGAGGAGGTTTTTGTTTTTTTTTAATGCAAAATATCACACTGTAATTAAATTATGCAAAAAATAAAATAAATACATTAAATAAAAATGTATATAGAAATATGAGTGAGTCCCACGCTTTTCCAGGCCAGGAAATTACTCTTGATGTTCCTTAACTTTTGTGGCCGCGCTGAACTCGCCTGATAGATCTACGAGTTTGATTAATGTAGTTCAGTTTTAATCTCTCCACTGGACAACGTTAACATCTGCATTGCAACCTTGTAAAACAGGGATAGGCTACCTTTGATATTGTGGACTTCAAACGTTGTGGACTTCATCTCACCTAATGCTTTGCTACATTATGGTTATAAGTGCATTATGGGAGATGTAATCCACAGCATCTGGAGTGCCAAAGGCTCCATACCGCAGTTCCAAAAGGCTGAGCTGTGCAGCTTTTAAGGGTAATGCAGTTACAACTGATGACATCACAAACTGCAAGTTTTGGAGCAAAAATGGAAATGAAAATACAGTTTTTTTTTTAATTTTTAGCAAATTGTATTACGATAAATGTTTCTCCTAGATCTGTATCTCTGGCAGAATAAAATACAAACTCACTCCTATCCTGTCAAGGCACAATCTAACGGAAGAAATGCATCACAATATTCTAGAAACTGCTTTAGGAACAGGTGTTACAAGTGTTCTAATATTTTGCGTTGCTTTTAGCATCAATGTTCCAACAGAAAGTAAACAGAACCTTCAGTTGCTTGCCCATCAGCTACTTCCTGCTCAGGTCTGAAAGTATTCTTTGTGCACAATTCTAAAGAGAACTTTAACAATTTCTTTATCGCTTTGATCCTACTGACCAATTGCAGGTCTAAGTCTGCCCTCTGTGGCTGTCTACTAGACAGCCACTATTGAGCTTCCGTTATCCAAACGGACTTTTGGTCCGTTATCTGACGCTGGACGTCCTCACGCTCTGCATGAGGACCTCCAGCATCAGATTTTCCACATAGGAAATCATGGGGAGGCCTAATGCGCGCAAGGTCATTAACGCGCATGCTCATTTGGTCTCTCCCTCCGACTGACATCTGTTGGGGAGGAGCGTGCGCGGAGGGACATCGGCGCTTCCTGCTAAGTAAAACCCTGCAAGTATGGGAAAATGGTAGCTCAAGCGCTGTATTTAGCGCAAGGCTGACGAGGCATTTGCCTTGGGCGGCACTTTCAGGGGGTGACAAAAAAAACACCTTGTCAGCCTCTTGTCCTGGGGATCCCAGGAGCTGGCCACCTTATGGCCCCCCGAGGCTGGCATCTACTGTTAGAGGCAGGCGACGGGTGAGCACTCTCCCAAGCTCTTCCTGCTCACCTCCCTCGTGCGTACCACAGTTATGCCGTAGCCGGGATATGAAGTCCCTCATCACTAAGAGGTGCGCGAGGTAGCTGAGCAGAAAGATCAGAGCTACCTCGCAGCCTCCAATGTGAGCCCGCCTGCCTGTGCCCATGCCTGAGCTGCAGCCAGCCCCAATGGACCACAGGGAAGAATCCACTACAGCACTCCCAAAGGATTGGTGGATTGAAGTTAAATTTTTAAAATATTGTGTTAGTGAGTGTGTCTGTCACTGAAAGTGTATGTTTTTGTCATTGAGTGTGTATGTGTGTTTGTTTGTGTGTGTGTGTGTATGAGTGTCTGTCACTGAGATTGTGTTTTTGTCAGCTAGTGTATGTGTGTCTGTGAGTGGGTGTGTGTTTGTCACTGAGTACATGTATATCTGTCAGTGAGTGTGTTTGTGTGTATCTGTCAGTTAGAATATGTGTGTCTCAGTGTGTGTGTCTGTCAGTGAGTGTGTATGCATTTCTGTCAGTGTTTCTCTTGTCAGTGAGTGCATGTCTGTCGGTGAATGTGTGTGTCTGATGAATGTGAGTGAGTGTGTATTTCTGTGTCTCAGTGAAAATGTGTGTTGGTTAAACAGTGTGACAATGACTATCTGTCAGTGAGTGTATGTCTGTAAGGAAGAGGGGGGAAGGGGAAGGTGCCCGAGTTTTGTCATGCCTAGGGCAGCACAAAACCAGTATACACCACTGGGTACATCCCCAGCTGGCAAAGCATTGTGGTAGTTCTATGACAGAAGGGAATCTACATTTTTGTTTATCTTTGTGATAGGGGGGCACAAAAAAAATTCTTGCACCAGGGCCCCCTCTATTTTAATTATACCACTGTCAGGGAATGACCTGCTGTGTTAATCATCCCTTTTAATGAATTTTTTACCCTCTTGCATTTAATTTAAACTTGTATAAATGTTGGTGTTTCTATTCTGGCATTTTCTTTGTGTTTCCTGCTTCAGCAATATCTTAAGGCAGAACTAAGTACATAAAATCGTGGAGGTACAAGGCGTTCTCGCATGAAAGATTAAACACTGTCACATTTGCCAAGATCATTGCCGGCCAAGTATTAAAACTGCTTTGTGCCAATGAAAAGTCAGAGGCTTTAGTGTAAGGAAGCATTCTGTCCTTGACATTACATTTGACATTTATACTTAGCACATTTAAAAGAAAAGTCTTGGGTTGAATTTACCACTCACTTTGGTAAAACAAATTAAGAACTCACTAAACGGACAGTATGAGTACCAAAATCACTTCATATTAATTAAGTGAATTTGAGACATAGTTGCTGCCTGTTTCTGAGAAATGACAGTTTCCATTTTGCAGTTTCCATATTCCTAGAGGCTGCCAGGTAGACAAACCGTAGGGGCTTTTTACTGGAATTTATTGAATTATGGCTTCTCTGTGAAAAGCACTGGATTGGTACATCTCAATGTCTGTGCTTGTGTGCATCTTCAATGATTCCGTACAAGGAATATCTGAATGGACATAAGTCATCAGATAAGTTTGTTTATAGTTTTTATGTTTTTCTTTCTTTCTTTTTTTAACAAATGGGCATCCTGTCAGCGTGAAATAATTAAGGAACACATCTAATAAAATTAAATTTAAAAAAGCATTTTAATTAGTGTTATTTTAAACTATGCATTCAAAAATATACATTTCAATTCGCTGAGTTTCTGGTTCCACTACGGATTTAATGGATGCAGGTGTAGAATTTGTTTTGCGTTGTTGAAACCAGGAATTAGGTGAAATGTGTCAGCCAATCCCTGGAGTTCTGTGGCTATGGGATAAATAGTGAGTGTGCATGTGAACTCACAACCATTCATACTCACTCATTTCATATAGAAAATCCTGTATTATCATGGACCACACAGTCATCAGTCATGGACAGTTTTAAGAATGCATATAAAAATAGTTATGTTTGTTTACAACAAGCTTTAATATACATAAAAGGTGTCAAGATGCGTGAAGTGTTCAATGTTCATCTATTGTGACCAGGTATGGAACCAGGTCAGAAGAAAAGACGAAAAGGTAGCTAGAAAAATAAATTTCGAGTAAAACGAGTATAATTTGCTCAGGCCTCAATTCTTATAATTTGTTGTAATTAAAAATGAAATAAATATATAAAAAATAGACCAGTTCTAGAGCTCTTCCTCTGTCCACATCTCATAAGGTAAGATGCAAACATTTCAGTTTGTTATAATAAAGTTATTATTACATCATCGTCTCTGCCCTGCCACAGCATTTCACCTTGAAAGTCCACCATGTTGTGTTTTCTGGCCCTAAGTAGGATTCCAACCACTTTATCCGAAATGCGCACGTATCGATCGAAAAGCTCGCCAAACGTCACACAGATTGTACCATCCTTCTGAGGCTCAGTCATTGTCCTAATTATGAAACACAGATCTTTCATCTCACGGTGAATATGTGCCTCTGCTCTCATTGCTCGTTCAGCTGTCTTGGTTCCTTCTTTTGGCCGTCCATAGCCATCATCACCCTTCTGGAGTCGTATGGACATTGCAAATTCATGATCAAACTCATCGCTGAATGGATTTAATTTCTGAGTCAGAGAGTGTTGACTTGACCAGTTCTCCCATTGACCTTTTATGTTATTCACAGGGCTATATCTCTTGTAAGCTTTGTTGATGCTGTTAAGTTCTGCTGCTGCCTTGTTACTAAAACACATAGAGGGAGAGGAATGTTATTATAAAGACCACTAGGTGGCACAATTATTACAAATGAAACATTTTCTGAGCTAGGAAAAAAAGGTGAATTCAATTGAGTCATGAAAATGATTGTCTCAGCATTAGAAGGCAAACATAATAATTCTAAAACCAACTATTATGTCTTGAGTAGCAACATTTTCTGCAGCTCTGTACAAAATGAAGACCTATGAATACATTTTGCTATATTGAAATATCTACACATATAATAAAATGTGAATGTCAGAACAATAATCTTCTGGGCTAATTAGGACTAATTACACTTTATAAACTTAAAGGAACACTATAGTCACCTAAATTACTTTAGCTAAATAAAGCAGTTTTAGTGTATGTATCATTCTCCTGCAATTTCACTGCTCAATTCACTGTCATTTAGGAGTTACATCACTTTGTTTCTGTTTATGCAGCCCTAACCACATCTCCCCTGGCTATGATTGACAGAGCCTGCATGAAAAAAAACTGGTTTCACTTTCAAACAGATGTAATTTACCTTAAATAATTGTATCTCAATCTCTAAATTGAACTTTAATTACATACAGGAGGCTCTTGCAGGGTCTAGCAAGCTATTAACATGGCAAGGGATAAGAAAATCTTAATTAAACAGAACTTACAATAAAGAAAGCCTAAATAGGGCTCTCTTTACAGGAAGTGTTTATGGAAGGCTGTGCAAGTCTCATGCAGGGAGGTGTGACTAGGGTTTATAAACATAGGGATTTAACTCCTAAATGGCAGAGGATTGAGCAGTGAGGTTGCAGGGGCATGTTCTGTACACCAAAACTGCTTCATTAAGCTAAAGTTGTTCAGGTGACTATAGTGTCCCTTTAAAGGGGAGCTACAGTCAAAAACATCTAAATCTATTTACAAAACCTTGATAATAAGCTGCCAGCTGTGTGAACGATTCACCATTCCGATGGTAGGCAGTGTACCCGCTTGAATCATTCAGTGACCCCCACGTCATGTTAGAACTATGTCCATGCGATGATTGTTAGGGTATTAGCTCATGATTATCACCTCTGGGCATGAGCTGCAGGTACATTGGGGTTTCATGGACAATGTATTTTCTATATTAAAACATTAAAATTACTAGGATCAGGTATTTTGATTCTCAAGTGAAAAAAGATGACACCACGAGCAGCCACAATGTAGATGAAGTGAAGTAACATGTTCCCCTTTCCCATATCGCCCTGCCCATAGCAGATATACCACCTTCTCCACTATTCTATAAATCACGGACGAGCACATTGACAATGCTTATGGTTAGTTTTGAGGTGTGGGCTAGTATATTTTTCCGCCTGTGAATTCTAGAATGTACACACTGGACTGAAAGTTTTTATTTCATCGTTATCTCTGCCATAAATATGTTCTGTATCTGTTATAGTACATTTGAAATAAACCTTATTAATTGAATTAAAAAATTCAGTGAATAAAGTTTTTTTTTCAAATTTACCATAATGTATAAATAACACTTACATCCAGCGTTACATCTAAAGCGCCTTAAAGTGTTCCAACATAAAATCAAAATGTCTGCTCCCTGCTGTCCTGCAATGATAAGTTTGTTCATCAATATCAAACGATTGCAATTGGAAACATCAAAGGCATGATAGCAGGAGTTTAAAGATAATTAAAGGCCTACTTATCTCCTGAGTAGAATTGCCCTTTGAGACCATTTTAAAGGTTATCTTTCATACTTTGATGAAAGACAGGCGTGCAACTAACCCTAAGAAAATGTGATGGTACCAGCTAATTGATAAACTGTTTGACCGTAATAGTTATGTTGCAATATTCCCATCTTAACTGCGTATAATGAAGTTGTCAGTAATATTTACTCTCTTCCCCGTCAAGTCTTTCTCATCTTTAGCAATCAAGTTGAGAAAAGGACCCTGCATCAGCTATACAGCACTTATAGTATTTATTTAGGCCTTATATATACAAAACAAACACACAGAAATCTTACTTTACTTAATTTTCCATTCTAAAGGAGGTTCTGCCATCATACTGCCTTTATAACCCATTCCTTGCACATGGTATAATACCATGTATAATATATAAAACATATCATAGGATCTGTCATCGGCGTATTTACTGTTGAAGGACACATGCAACATATCCATTGTAGGTTTGCTAAATCCACTATATCGCTTCCACATTCTAATGGAATTATGTGAAAATAGTTGCCAGTTTCAAGAATTCATATGTTGCAAGCCGAAGTCAGTCCAACAATTATCTCAAAGCAACTGCCTTGATTAAATGAGTTCTCTGGTGTAGCATGTGAAGGCTGCATACTAAAGGGTTACTATTCTCATATGCTGTTCATCCATTAGGCAGACTAAAAAACAGACAGACAGACAGACATAATTGTTTTCATTACTCATTTCAAGGGAACTTACACTGAAGAGGATGGTCGCTTTATCCTAGCAGCATTCTCATTACTTGAGGTGAGGTTTTCTAAATTATCTTCTGTATTCTTTCCATGGCCCAGATGTTCGCCATTTTCCACATCTGTGCTTTCAACAATGTCTTTGAGTTTTTGGTCAGTTTCTGGGGGCGACACAAGTTCTCCTCCGTCCTCCACATCCTTCCAACTTTTTGTGAGCTGAGAGACAATATTGGAACATTTTCTTCTTCTAGTTGGTGATGCGGACCTTTTCAATATTTTATCCACCATTGCATCATATGTATTTTGATTTTGAGAACTTGGGTCTTTTTCATATCTGTCAGTTAAAGCACCTATATCCATTCCTTTTTCCTGGGCTTTGGCCGAAAAACTTTTGGTCACGGCTACAGTCTTGATTGATGTTTCTTTGTCATCCAAGTGAATTGAGTCGTGCAAGTCTTCTTTTTGTGGTTGTTTTATCTTCACCTCTGGTTTTTGGTATTTTACTTCTACATCCCCATCCGTGTTTGGAACCCATCCGGAAGGTTCCTGAGCTTGCTTGGTTGAATGTTCAACTGCCCACTGTTGCCATCCTTTTGTTAAGCTGGAAACCAAAGCTGCCGTTTTAATTTTTTTAATGGCTCTTTTAGCTGGTTTCATTTCTCCTTTGCTGTCGTTGGGTGCCATTGCATTGCAGTGAAATCTTTTAGGTTTAAACAACCTAAGGAATCAAGTCTGGCCGTGCACTTAGAGACAGTTCTAACAGCTGAATGAAGAGTTGGTGGGTTTTAAATAGACCGCATGGTTTATGGATCTGGAAAATATGTCAAGTATTTAAACCCACGATGCACACACTCTGACCGTGTTACTTTTTTCAGACTAAAGGGTTGTATTTCATTACAGATGGAAAATACACATGGTAAACAAGGCTAACTTTTTTACAAAACCCATTAGATTCCTGTATTGCACTAAATGATATTATATTAATGTATTGTGCCACTGATTCTGAAGATTTATTTCATGACGATTTTGTTTATGAAATGTTTCTCTTTTTCAATAATATCTAAATTACAGCTTAGTCATCGGTTGCTTCTCCATTCTACTATAGATTTTTAAAATGATCCTCCCATAGCTTTCCTATAATATGGAGACAATCATCAGACTCCCCCTCTACACATTCCTCCTCAATGATCAGGTCTGACCTTGTCCTGTTTCAGATTAATTACTGGGTTTCCAAGATGGTCAATGAAGAAGATATAATAAGTTATTGTCTATGAGGTCTGTTTGCAGGGGTCCATAGAAGGCACCTAGAATTCTGAAAAACTTGAAAAAAATAACACAGTCATTTGTGCTTGTGACAACAGACTAATGCATTGATGGGTAATTTAAATTCTAATCTGGCCATCAGCACCGGGTAAAAATCAAGTTAATAATATATGATTTAAGCATGGTATCTGTATTTTTTTTCCCATATTAGGGATTTTTTTAATTAAATTTTAAAGAGTTTGTAAAAAGCACTGATGGAACGTATACCATTGCATGTTGATGTTATAGGTGTCCCAATAATCTCTGATTTTACAAGTCTATGCTTCAGCATCTAATGTAATTGCTTTAGATAATGACACTGCTCAGTGATAATTATGGTAATGAAGATACTTATCGAGCATTCTGTATAGCTCAACGAATGGGCTTTCACTTCTATCTTCATACGAATAATTACTAATCTTTTACTGTATACCAATAATAAGTCAGAATTTTAACAGATAGGGAAAACTTCAAAGACATTTCTAAAACTCTTTCCATCATTTTTTATCGACAGGGTTATTTGGAAGTGAGTTTCAAATTTCAGGCCAAAATACCCAACTAAGCTTTAGATAGTAGCATAACTGACTTGGAGAAATATAACATTTTGGCTAATTTAACCCGATATTTGAATTTTACTTTGATTTCACTTAGAATTCTCACTTCAATGAATAACCCAGTTAATTTTACTTCACAAATTCCCCAAATAACAGAAGAAATTGTCCTGCCTCTGTACCAAAACAAAACCTAGAATTTGCGCTGTTAGTTTCATCATAATGTAAGGATTTTATCTTTCAGTGCCCCCATACATATATATTGTTGTTGTTCTTTAGAGGGCAGAAATTGCTTCTCATTAGTATCCTATACGTATACCTAACACAACATTAAATACATCCATCCATCCCATCCATCATGGGGGAAAAAATTCTTTCCCATTTTTGCTTATAATATTTTTTACACATGAAGAAGAACTAATAAAAAGAACTCAAAATAGATTCACATATCAGTCCTGATTGATAAATGCCTCATATGTCTAGCATCCAAATTAGTCAAAAGACTATGACTAAAACTAATTTGAAAATTACCTCCAAAATTAAAACCCACAGGTAAGACACATGGGGGAGGCAGGAGAAGAAATGAGACACATGGGGGGCTGGTGGATTGAGGCATGTGAGAGACTGGAAGAATGAGACACATGGGTGGGCTTGGTAAATGAGACACATGGGGAGCTGGGAGAATGAGACATATGAGGGGGATGGGAGAAAAAGACACATAGGGGGCTTGGGAGAATAATACACATGGGGGCTGGGAGAATGAGACACATAGAGAAACTAGAGGGGGGAGTGAGCACATGGAGGAGCTTGGGTGGAATGAGACACCTGGAGGGGCTGATGGTAGAAACTCAGACACATGGTGGACTGGGGGAATGAGACACTTGGGGGAGATGAGATGCAAAATGGGCCTTGGAGGACTCAAAGCGACATAGACGGGCTGGGGGAGAAAGAAACAAAGTGCTGGGGGAAAGGGACACACACATTGGGCTGTAGAGATAAAGAGACACACATAGTTGCTGGAAGGGGGGGCAACAGAGGGCCTGGGGAAGGGGCAAAAGAGACAGACAGGGACTTGAAAGGGGTGGGGGAGGCATCCAGAGAGGCTGAGGGGACACAAAGAGACACAGACGGGCAGGGAAGGGACAAAATAAACAGATAGAGGCTTTAACTAAACCCATTAGATTTTAGTTGTATCGACTGAAGATTTAGTTGACTAAAACTAGCCTAAAACAAAAGACTATGACTAAAACTAAATTGAAAATTACCATCAATATTAACACCGCATACACCTACCTTAACCTTAACCCTACACTATTCCTAACCCTAACTCTACACTAACATCAACCCTAATGCTATCCCTTACCCTAACCATAACTCAGATGGATTTCCTATACTGAAGTTAGTAGAAGGCTTTCCCTGGAAAAACAATAAAAAAAGAGTAATCTGCGATCACCATCAACTCGATGTTTGCAGCATGTGAGGGAGGTCTTCCTCTCAGTCTCCAGCTCGGGCATGCTGTCCCTGATAATTTCAATGTGACTGGTTTTAGGCGTCTGGCAAAGCCCAGCACTGGTCACAATTGTCATGGGGCATGGACAGAGACCCTGTCAGGCCCTTTTAAAACATTTGAAAATGACCATGTAATGGGATAAATGCAAAGCTGCAAACATAGACCCATGTTAACAGAAGAAAGTCCCAGGATCTGTACTTGGGCCCATTCTCTTTAATATTTTTATTAGTGATATTGCAGAAGGTGTTGATGGTAAGGTATGTCTTTTTGCTGATGATACTAAGGATGATGTTCCAGGAGGGATAAGCCAAATGGCAAATGATTTAGGTAAACTAGAAAAATGGTGAGAGTTGTGTCAACTGACATTTAATGTGGATAAGTGCAAGATAATGCATCTTGGACGTAAAAACCCAAGGGCAGAGTACAGAATATTTGATAGAGTGCTCACATCAACATCTAAGGAAAGGGATTTAGGGGTAATTATTTCTGATGACGTAAAGGTAGGCAGACAATGTAATAGAGCAGCAGGAAATGCTAGCAAAATGCTTGGTTGCATAAGGAGAGGTATTAGCAGTAGAAAGAGGGAAGTGCTCATGCCATTGTACAGAACACTGGTGAGACCTCACTTGGAGTATTGTACGCAGTACTGGAGACCGTATCTTCAGAAGGATATTGATACCTTAGAGAGAGTTCAGAGAAGGGCTACTAAACTGGGTCATGGATTGCAGGATAAAACTTACCAGGAAAGGGTAAAGGATCTTAACATGTATAGCTTGGAGGAAAGACGAGACAGGGGGGATATGATAGAAACATTTAAATATATAAAAGGGAATCAACACAATAAAGGAGGAGACTATATTTAAAAGAAGAAAAACTACCACAACAAGAGGACATAGTCTTAAATTAGAGGGACAAAGGTTTAAAAATAATATCAGGAAGTATTACTTTACTGAGAGGGTAGTGGATGCATGGAATAGCCTTCCAGCTGAGGTGGTAGAGGTTAACACAGTAAAAGAGTTTAAGCATGCGTGGGATAAGCATAAGGCTATTCTAACTAGAAGATAAGGCCATGTATATATTTTAATCATGTAAAAAAAAAAAAATCATTATCTGCTCCTCCCAGCTCTTCCCACAGCACAGTCACTATCTTAGCACACAAATACACACACACACTGCATCCACTACTCACACACTGTATCCACTATATGCACACACTGCATCCACTACTCACACACTGCATTCACCATATGCACACACTGCATTCACTACTCACACACTGCATTCACTATATGCACACACTGCATCCACTACTCACACACTGTATTCACTATATGCACACACTGCATCCACTACTCACACACTCCATCCACTACTTACACACTGCGTTCACTACTCACACACTGCATTCACTATATGCACACACTGCATCCACTACTCACACACTCCATTCACTACTCACACACTGCGTTCACTTTATGCACACACTGCATCCACTACTCACACACTGCATCCACTACTCACAAACTGCATTCACTATATGCACACACTGCATCCACTACTCACACACTGCATCCTCTACTCACACACTGCATTTACTATATGCACACACTGCATCCACTACTCACACAATGCATTCACTACATGAACACGGTGGTAGATGGTGGGCCCTGTGGACTGACTTGGGTTGGGCTTAAGGGACCAGGCTTGAACTGTATAAGGGGCACCAAAATTTCGGATGGCAGCTCTGCCGATGCTGCAGGAAGTTTCAGTGCATACTCAGGGGATGTGGAATGTCCCACTTTGTCTCCAGACTTTCCAGCGGATTTATCAAGGCAAAATCAGGTGTTATTCTGGGATGAAATGATAAATAAGGAGTAATCATCATGGTCCAAAATATTTAGTACTTTGCACCAAAATTGCATGTTTTACCTTGATTAATCTCCTCCCTTGTGTCTAGAATTAGTTGTTAGCTTAAAGGACCACTATAGTGCCAGGAAAACATACTCGTTTTCCTGGCACTATAGTGCCCTGAGGGTGCCCCCACCCTCAGGGACCCCCTCCCGCCCGGCTCTGGAAGGGGGAAAGGGGTAAAAACTTACCTTTTTCCAGCGCTGGGCGGAGAGCTCTCCTCCTCCGATCCTCCTCCTCTCCTCCCCCTCGGCTGAATGCGCACGCGCGGCAAGAGCTGCGCGCGCATTCAGCCGGTCACATAGGAAAGCATTCATAATGCTTTCCTATGGACGCTGGCGTGCTCTCACTGTGAAAATCAAAGTGAGAAGCACGCAAGCGCCTCTAGTGGCTGTCAATGAGATAGGGGAAGGCTTAACCTCAGTAAGGTCAACCTCAATACTGCAGGTTATGGAGCCCCACTCCATTTTGACTTAATTATTCATTTTAGCTTGGTGCCTGCAGACCATAGGACCAGGTCATATA